GCTTTTCTTGGTTTCGTTGCTGCCGAATGAAAATTGTTCGCAGGTGGTTTCCGTTAGTCAAGTCAAAATGTTTCGTTTGGGGCCTTGGATCGGTTTCGTTAAAGGTTTAGTTAGCTACGGTCAGTTATGGAGACTTTTTGACGCCCAGAAAACATATCTGCATGCAAAAACATTTGCTTGTTCGAAAACGCAAGCTGTACATAGGAAGTTGTGCAGCTTTTTTTTTAATTATTGCCCAGGCAATATAGTCTTTAAAAACAAACCAATTGGGATTTCCAGTAGGTGTTAACTTTTGTTATAATTTTTTTAATTGTTTTGAGGAAGAAGTAAAAAACATTATATATTTCTCTTTATTTATATCACACTTTTAAATAGTTAAAGTTTTAATGCCAACATCTTTAAAACACCTTCATGAATAAAATAAAAAAAATAATATTTCTTTTCAAGTACCTTTGTTATTATAAATATATTTATATGTAAATTGCGTTTAAAAACAAAAAATCCAAAGGAACAATTTTAATAACGGGCAAGGTAAAGGGTTTCCTTTTCAAAATTTCCAAATATTTTCTTTTGCTCGCCTCTCTGGGAAAATTAGCATAGAAAAAAGTGAAAGTGTTTGCAGCTGCAATGAATTTAATGTGTAGCAACACCGCCAGCCGAACCAGACATCATGTGCAGCGTTTAGACCTCGCCCTCTTCTCTCTAAATTGCCCATGAATCGAGCCTGACTGCCTGTCAAAAGGGCGCAAAGTGTGGATAATTTTTGTTTTTTCGATTTTTTAAAGCCGTTTTTTGTTTTGGGGAAAATGCCTTTAAAGTGGTATGGAAAGTGCCAGCCCACGCGCAGATTACGAAAAACTATGGCGCAGGAACTGTCGGCTCAGATTGCCTCAAGTTCAGTGCTTTGATTTTCAATTCAGTTCACGATTTGCATGGCTAGACGAGATACTTATTAACCCAAGTGCTCCGACAAGAAGCGTGATCCAAGTTTTTGGTCACACACCCCGAAGGCGGGATCGGTTGCACTTGTTGTTGCTCCTGCCCCCATGTTGCATGTTGCCAGTTCCATGGGTAAGTCCGCCGGACTAATTGCCATTGGATCAGTTAATGATACATGAAATTTAATGTTTGGGAAACATTAGCCAGACTTGTTTAAGTTTTTATGACGGCTTTTAAGTACATTGTGCCAGACAAAAAAGTTCAGAGATTTAGTGGCTCAATCACTCCCACACATTGTTTTGGATTTAATTTCTACTCAACTTTGTTTTTAAAGTACAATTTTAATGCTATTATTAAACAAGTTTAAGGGGTGTACATTAAATTGTTTCATTATTGAAGCATTTTTGTAAGTAACTAGCGTTACAATTTTAAACCAAAACCTGATGAAGTCATTATTTTGCACATTTATGATTATTTTACCTATTGAGTAATTTGAAAGGCGCAGAATTTTAACGACCCCCTAAAAAGAGCAGGCATTCGCTAAGGACTTTGGAAATATTTAGGGAAATAGGTTTTTCTTCTTCATTGTTTGTCTTCCACATTACTTTGAATTCATTTTGAGTGCCAGCAGTGTGATGGGGACGGGGGGTTGAGGGGGCGTTAAAGGGGGACAACTCAACTCGTGACTCGATTGACATTTGAATGAGAGTGGAAAATGTGCAAAACGAGCGGCGGTGGCTACCAGAAAAAAAAAAAAGCGACACACACTCGCACACAAAGTGTGTCCCCCTTCCACGGCGAAATCAATATGCGGTAATGCATTTTTCAGCTATGCAGGTATTACAACAACAACAACAACAACAAGGGGAACAACAATGGACCCCAAAAAGAAGCCATTATCATGCAATGTTTTGTTGCAAGGCAGCTGCCAATGCAATCGAAGCATTTTCGGCAATTGCACAAGAGCCACTCGAATTCGAAACAAATTCAAAATCAACTAATTACCTTAAATGCCAAGCCCGGTAGTTTGGGAGTTCAATGAACTCAGTATCTCTATATCTTTAATTTGTTAATATTTATTTGTGATCTTTGGTTAAATAAAAGCGTTTATAATTCTCTCGGAGGGAAGATTGTTCCAACAAACAGAAATAAATAATTCGCACTTCAATCAGACAGATTTAAATCGCTTTTTCACTGTTCTTTAATAATAAACTTTTACTCATTTTGTTTTCCTCAGGGGCAGCGCCACACATTAGTCTTTCGATTCAAGGCCCTGAATCCCCAGACCTTTTCTCTTTATAAGACGGAGCCCCAAAAGGTAGGTGGCAGTCAAAATATTTGATCGAGGGCCGACTCCTTTATCCCCATTCCCTGCGGCATTTTTACCCCTCAGCTGCAATTGTCAGAACCCTCGACAAGCGCAATTAATCAACTTTTTGTTTTACACGGAAAAAAGTGTTTAATGGGAAAGTAATTCTATCAATATAATAAGATAAAATCCAAAGATTTCAACGTTTTTTCTAAATAATGATATAGGTTAAAGAATTATTAGAACGTTTGGTTTTTAAGATGAAATTTTTTTTAAGTGTACTCTCATTCTGTTTTAAATGTTTTTCTTTTTTCCATGTGAGTAAAATGGGTTTATCTTTATCGCCCTCTTCCTCTTTTTACTCTCTCCATCTCTTTTACTCTCTTAATGGTTCTGCATCGCACTTGAAAATTTGTTGACCGAGGCTGTTAATGAAGCGTGCAGTTAATTGTTGTTGTTATTGGTGCCCCTCTTGCTCTTGATGTTGCTTTGGCCTTTTCTGGGGGGATCCGTAAACAAATTGTTTGTGAGATGAAATGATTGCCGGCTTTGATTTTTCCACCAGCATAATTCATTTTTCCAGTTCGAGAGTCAAAAAACTCATCAATTACACGTCGGAAGTGTGGCAACATTGGTTGCAGCATGTTGCTAACGAAAAAGTACCGGGAAAAGTTTAACCGTTTAGCCATTAACATTATTTTAGCATTTATATGATCAAAGACACATTTACAAAACAATTACTATTTTATGTTTTTTGCATTAATTTTAAACTTGAGTAAAACATTTAAGGTTGTTTTATCTATTACCTCTTGCTGGATTTGTTGCTTTTAATATGCAACAATAAGCAACAAGTGCAAATGGGCTTAGCAACATTGCGTTATCAACATTTCAACCGGTTAAAATTTACCGAGCTAGGACTTCTTTTACAGCTTCAGTCAAAAAATTATTGAGATTTAAATATCGAACAAAATCCATAAATGAAATACATACATATATTACATTTTAATTTGAACTTTCACTGATGTCCAATTGTCCTAAATAGGGAGGATTTATCCGTTCGTTAAACACAAGCAACTGGAAATAATGGTAATTTTTCTTCTTCCTAGATTGAACAATATTTTATGGACGAAATTTTTAATAACGGTAAATTGATGAGGACCTTACTTTAACCAAAGACTATAGAATATCAAGATGTTGCATGACCTCAAAAAAATCGTTCTATGGTGGGTCTTGATATGGAGACCCACATGACTTTGCACTTTTAAAGGCTCAATTAGTTCGCCGCTCTTCATGAAGCCCGGTGGTGTTGTGGAAGATGCTATGCCTCATGTACATGAAGGCCCGGGTTCGTATCCCCGCCGAGCCCAGCCATATCATAAATTGTTTTTTTTTTTTTTTTTTTGTGTAAATTAATTAATTATTTTATTTTTAGATTTTTTTTTTCAATTTTTTGTTTTTATAATTTTTTTTGCGTTCATGCAAGTGGTGAACAGCCTGATACAATTATACAAGGTAGTCCACTCGGCAAAATCCATAGTCCCTAATTTAACTTTGTCAAGTTAGTGTGAGTGAAACGGCTACATTGTGCTTCAGTTTGACAAGCAGGCACGCACTGAAAATAAGGGACCAAAACCGAACGACTTCGGCAAGCCGAGTGGACTGCCTTGTATAATTGTATCATGGTGATCAGCAAAATACCCTAACACGCGTATGTACACGCGCATGTGTGAAAATTTAACGACACAATTATCTGAATAAGGAACATTATTAATATTGCACCTATGAATTCTTTAATTTAATTATTATAAACGAAAAATTATGATTTAAATGAAAATTAAAGAAAATAAAATAATAATGCTTTACAAGTCTGATATACCTTACTACTATTGTAAAGTGTATAAAGCCCGATAAACTAAAAAATTGCCAGCTGTGAACGAATTCCCAATTTGGGAACACGACGAATATTAAAAACGAAGACGAAAGCCGAAAGCAGCAGTTCGTCGTGTTTCTATTTTTAGATTTTCCCTTTTTACCCCGACCGACCGCATCATGAAGCTCGAAACAGAAACGAAAAATTTTTTGTATGGGATGCAACATCTTGATATTCTATAGTCTTTGCTTTAACATAACTTCAGATTGTATTTGTGCTTTGTAAACATTGAATTAGCAGAGGGTGCTGCTGCTAGCGGTCAACAGTGCCGAACAGCCGCGAATTAAGAGAGCGTAAAAAGAGTTGAGGGCGAGAGAGCCGACAATTATACTCTGTAAATAAAAGTTATATGACATTGAAAATTGTTTGTCGAAATTCATTTTAATTTTAGTTTTAAAACATTTTCATCATACAAATTTATTTGCTTAAAGTAAAAAAATTATTAGGATAAATATTGCATATTCTATAAATATAATTTTATTTTATCTTTTTAAAAACAGGAGCATAGTGAAGGTGGAAATTGTGTGATATATGAATTTAAAAACTTTTAAAAGGGTAGAAAACCGCCGACTTGTGGCACTCTTGAATCCGCGAGTCTCGTTGCGCGGTATCTTTCGGTATTTGTCGGCGTTTGCTCATCCGCTCTTACGCTCATTGATGTTGCATCAACATGTTGTTCCAACATTGTTGATAAGGCTAAGAAACGAATTGAAACTCAATGTAGTTATTGTGTACGGACTGGCGGAGCCGACGAGACGTAAACTGATTTTTCCATGTTGAATCAACATTGTTGATAAGGCTGTGAGGTGAAACTTGTTTGAGTTAAGAAATCCAATTTTGTTGTTGAAAATCCACTCGGGCGAACGGTCGCGGTCGCTTCGTAGAGCGCGAGAAAATATTACTTATCATAGCGAATAGTACGAGTAACACGAGAAAAAACAAAACAAAAGGCGGCGAAGAAGAAACAAGAGGGCCCCAAAGAAGAAAAGCCCAAAACTTCTGCTCTGGTTCTCTGCGTCCGCGCGTGTGTGCGGGCCCTGTGTATGTGGCGGTGTTTTTGTGCGTAAATGTGTGCGAGTGTGCCAAAGCCAAGAATCAAAGTGCAAAGCGAAATTGAATAATTTCCTCATCTCTCTTTCTCTCTCTGTCTCTCTGAAAGTGTAACCAAAATACCCGAAAAATCTGAAAAGAATATCAAGAGCTGATAAAAGCTACAAAGTGAGGTAAACAAAGGCTGGCTCTTGCGGCCAAAACAACAACAAGCCAATGTCTCGGCTTACGTAACACCGCATCCTTGCGAACCGAATCAAAAACGAATCAAGTCGAATAAGAAAAATTGTTTCGCTGCCATGCAATTTCTGGGAGTTGTTTGAAAGTACCTCCACTTCCGCACTCTCTCTCTCTCTCTCTCTCTTCGATTCCCCACCTCTCTTGTTGTTTTGATTGAACGCAGCAGCGAAATGTCAACCGCCACAATAACAACAACGGTGGCTGCCGCCCCATCAAAGTCGGCACCACCCACACCAACAACAACGAATGCTGGCGCAACAACCAATGCACGCACCGCCGATTGTCGCAAATTCACGCCGAACATTTTCAACAAGAGCAAGTGCAGCCACTGTTTTCGACAGCGGGAGGAGCACTCGGCCGCCGCCTTGGAATGCAATAGGGTAAGTCTTGAAACTGGGCTAAAATTGAGATTGGGCAGTACGAATTTTTTACGTCGGGAAATATGTACACGTATGAAAATAAGATTATTTAATCTGTTTCATAAATAGTCGTGCAGTCCCATATTCAGATTTACTAAATTTGTGATTCACATATAAACTTTTATTTGTTGTTTAATGATAGTTTTTGGAAAGTGCCAAAGTTAGCATGTATTTTTTTTATTATTGTATTGGTTTTATTTTTATTGTTTTATTAAAATAAAATTCAATTTCACGAATTTACTCCATTATTTAAAATTTGAAATTCAAAATTCTTTTTCACGAACTTACACTGTACTTTTAAGTCAGAAAAAGTCACCCCCGACCGAAAAAGAAAAACCAGTGCCTAAATATATTTTCTTGTGTGCTATATAAATCTTTATTTAGTTTTCAACTCAGTGCGGGTTTTTCTTTGTTATTCTTGTTTTTCCCGAAAATTTGAGTTTCGTTTTGTTCTTCCGCCCAACTATTGGATTTTCAGCTTCCCGCTGCAGTTGTGGGAAGTTGGATAAAATTTATTGGAAATTTATGTGGTGGGGATTAACTAAGTTGTGAACACGAGATATTTTCCCTTTTTTAGATGGAATTTTAATGTCAAAAAGTTTGTAGTTGAAAATAAATTTATGGCAGAAGGAAAGTTTGAGCATCCAGAATATTCGTAAATTGACGTAAATGGCTGTTCAAAGTTTTTTATGCGCTATGACTCGACGTCTCGTCATTAATTTTAATTAAAACGTTTTTAAATAGAACAGCTTAATCTTCAGGCAAAATCTGTCGAAGCTGGTACAACTCATTTTGATTAAAGCAACCTTTTCTGTAAAAAACAAAACTTTTGACCAAGATTAATTTATCAAATTGACCCAGAGCCCCCAGGCAAAAACATCTTCTAATCTTGAAACTTTCGTTCAACCAAGTTACAAAAAAGACCAGAAGACGGCCGACATTTAGAAAACAAACAAAATTGCGGCGTGACAAAGGAAAACTCTCGCTTTCTCGTTTCACTGGAATCTTAGAATTATGGAAAGAAAAAACCGATTTAAAAAAAATGCCACTGAAAACTAATTAAAATAACAAAAACTAATCAAAGCATAGAAAACATAAAAACCCACCAAGACTGAAAAAAAGGAGGGGAGAAGCCGAAGAAAAAAGTGAAAATCGTTTATTATGTTTACCCGGCCTGGAGTTGGGTTACAAAAAATTTACGACAATACAACGCCCCGAACTAAAACACCATTCCCCAGAGTCGAAGTCAAAGCTGAAAGGCCAACCGGCTCTTTTTATATGCCCATGATAAGTTTTGGAATTTGTATTTAATAAACATAAAATCGTCGTCGTAAAACATCGAAGAAAACTAAGCGCGGTCCCGCCTGTTTAAAAAATAAAACCAAAAGAGTATGTAGTTTACCAACGGGAAAGTTTCGGTTTTCGTTCAGCTATGCAAATGAAGGTGGTAGAATAACAGCGGGAAAGATATGTCAACCGCTTCTAAACACTTGTCGAAAGATAAAGATTTGAGATTAGGCATCATTTGGGTAGACAATATCTAATCTTATACATTTTTGAGATTAGGCGCATCAAAAGGATAAAAGAGTTGAGATACACAAAATGTGGTCCAGACAACTGACTAAATTAACTTCATCGTTTTTTAGTATTGTAGCAATTCCCAGAGTCTTAATGAATCTAATTTTAACCTTAATTTTTTCGTCTGCTATGTCAGACCATTAATAAATAATTCATAATTTTTGTGCTCATTTCGATTTTATTTCGTGTAAATGTATTTTTAAACAACTGACCCTAATAAATTGCGATCTGTTGTTGCTTATATAGCTGTTCTTATTCTCAATTCTGTTGATAGGGAATTTTTGTGCAGTTTTCGTCTGAGTTTTATGGGTCAACAAATGTTTTATTATTCTGTTTAGTTATTTCTCTGATCATTTACATTGACGGCCCACAAGTGCCGGTTTTCGCGAGAAGCATGCGCAAATTAATTATGCGACTGTCAAAAGCAATTTCTGGCTCGCCTCTTGTCTGTTTGCCAAATTGGAATAGGTCTTTCCTTAATTGATCACCAAAAATTATACGGATACGCGAAAGATTTCTAGCGCAGCTTGGCCCGGGGCGGAAATTGCTTTTTGTGGGCTAAGTGCGCGTAGAAATCAAAAATTTGTTTTCCAAAAGCTTGAAATGTGTTCACGAGTCGGGGGAGAGCATACTTCAACTGCGTGACTGATCTCAAAAAAACAGAGCCAGAATGACCCCCAAGAAATTAGCACAAAACGCTCACACACAGACCGATTGTATATTGTATTGTGTTGTTAACCATTTATTGAGGAAGTCACAGACCCGAAAAAAACAAACGAGAAATCATAGAGAAATACCCTCTGAAAGACCCGAGGCCAACAACACTTGACAGCCGTGAAAAATGTCGCCCTGAGGGGAATAGAGAAAGGAGATTGCGGAGTGCAGGGGGCATGTAAATGATCCATAAACTGGAGAACTAGTTGATCGATTTGTTGGCTTAGCTGTTCCTGCCAGCATTTCCTAATTTATAAATAACTCGAGTTACAATATTGAATTACCCGAGCTGAGCGCGAAGCGTTGGAGTCAAGTGTTCACAAAGAAGAAAATAAATAAACTTTACTATTTGAGTGTGAAAGTCATTTGAGTCAATACCCAGTGGGTAGAACAACTGTGTCAACACGTCAATGGTGACGGCGGGGATCGGGAAGAGGAAGAGGAAGTGGAGCAGGGCAGGGGTGAGTCGCCATAAGTAGGCAGATCTAAGGTTAAACACCCTAACTAAGAAACTACTCAACCATTTCCTACAATGCGTAGAAGTGTGGGTTTATGATAAAGCTAATTTGGGAAGTAGTAGGCAATTAAAAAGATTTTTGATTTTAATAGTTTCCTTGCATAAAGCGAAGAATTTCTAAAACTAGTGGCAAATATTATATGTTTATAATATATGTCTAGACATTAATTGTTAATAAAACGTTATCAGAACCCATTTACTTATAAAAGACAGGCGGAAAACCATTTTGTCCCATCAATTATGTATTTATATTTAAAGAAACATTTAACAGTTTTTTAATTTAATTCGAAGTTTTAACTTTAGAATTTGTTTTTCATTTTACATTTGATTTGAAACAAGCTGTGCAATAAGGAAACTTATAAACTATTTATAACACAGTGGGACTTCGTTACGGTTGTCATTAGGGAACTCCCCTCGGGCTGTGGATATTTTAAAGTCAAATCTGGGCACTGGGAACCGTGCACTTCAGCGGTGTTCTCCGCACTCCTTCAGTTTGCTCCACATTTGGCTCCCCCTTCGGAAGATGCAGTTGCTCCCCGGCTAATATGTATATGTATGTAAAAATAGAACTCAACTCTTGGCTTCCGCTCGTCGAGCGGCAATTAGAAGGCGTCGGCAGCAGTCATCCCCCCTTGAAGACCCCCGTCCAGCGTTCCCCCCTTTTGCGGTTACTCAACCGACGGACCCCACAGGCTTGGTCCCCCCTTCGAATAGGCCCCAGATTTTCTTCTTCTCCGGCAGTCGTTCTAAATTTAGCAACACTTTTGCTTTTGTTTCTCTCTCCGCAAGAGTGTCCATGTTCGCCTGTCTTCTGCCTCGGTTTTGACTAGTGCATAAATGCTGGGCCATAATTGTTGCATTGTCTGTCGCCGATCCGAAGGCTAATGAAGCCGGCAAAAGCGTCCCTAACACGGCTCTCGGATTACCTGGCCATGGTATCGAATGGGATGGGATGGGATGGGATGGCATGGGTTGGTTTGGGATGAGATGGCATGGTATAGGACCACCTATCGTTAGGGGTTCCCTTTGTAGTTTGGCGGTACGACAGGAAAATGCGCAAAAACAAAGGCCAAAGAAAACGCGACGAGGTGCAAAACGGATGTCAGAATGCATTGTCAAGTCAATGGAGCGGAACATTTCAGTTATCAGGGACCAATCCACTTCAAAACCCATTATATTCGAGAAGATGAAGCTTGTTCTCTTTTTTTTTTGGTTTTTTTGTGGGGGCTGTGCCATGTTGACAGGTCAGGTCAAAGGCTTGTGGCAGCGTTCAGGTTCTGATGCCCCAAAAAGGCAAAAGCCAGCCAAAAACCCCGGGAAAATCTCATCTTGCAACTTGTGTTGTTTTGTTTTTTTTTTTTTTTTTTTTGCTGGCCGGGCGCGTGACTGGGCACCCCACTAAGACTTAAAGTAAGACTAAGACTTCGGCCCCACCAAGAGGTCTGGGCCATAGGCAGTAATTGTGGACTTTTTGCAGTTTTTTTGGCGGCCGTCTATTTGTCTGGCAAAACAATTGGCATGGGACACCGTGGCCCAGGCATTAGAAAACTAAAAAGCCAAAGTACAAGTTACTTTAAATGCAAAACAATGATAAATTTATAAAAATTATAGATTGGAAAGACAGTTAGTAACTAACAAGCCAACAAAAATTCCACCTTTTTAATTGTTATTTTCAATTATACCCGAAGTATTCACTCTCGGAAACTGGGTGTCATTTCGAGCTGTGTGCCCCCGTTGAGCATTTGTCTATGACTCTTCCCTATTTCCTCTGTATTGCCCTCACTGCCTCACTGTTTGCCAAAGTCGGTTGGTTGGCCATCGGTGTCCTAGGTGCCTGACTATCCCACCAAAAAGATCTCAATTGGTCCCCGGGGTGTTATTGAGCTATTGGCAGCATGCCATGAGAGACGAGGCCTGGATGGCTCCCATACCATACCATACCATACCATACCATACCAAACCATACCGTACCATACCATCCTGTGTATACCATTCCGTCCAGGTCTCCAGTGGAGTCGCAATAGACCTCATTCTCTCGGCCTCTCGTGTTCCCCTTTGGCCCTTTGTGGCTCGTTCTGTCTCGGTTTCAGCCAGTGTGCCTGGGCCGAAGTTCTTGTGTTGTTTGTCAGCGAAGTATACACATAATAAATAT